GAGACTGGTCGGTCACCCTTCAGTGCATGCAAAGGGGGATACCCCGAATCGTGATTTCGCTCAAGTTGCAGTAGTATGCAAAAGCATCATAAGAGTCGTTGCATTACGAACCGACCACTTCGACTCTAGCATTCTCTTCTAGCCACTGCATCCATCTAGCAAGGTACGCATCGCCCGCTTTAGCCACAGTATCCGAGTCCGCCACCACTACCAACTGTCGTTTAGCTCTAGTCATGGCCACATTCAACCTCCTCTTTTCCTTTAAAAACCCAACCTCTCTCTTTGCATTGCTCCTCACCAACGACATGATCACCACTTCATTTTCTCTTCCTTGTTGCGAATCGATCGTTCCCACATCCACTCTCTTCAGGTCTGTGCGCGTGCACGCCACGTTCAATTTTTCGCCCACCCCCGCCGTTGATTTGCTCCTGCTGGAAGTGGAGATGGTGCTGGCATTGGCAGCTTCTTGACGAATCGCTTCGCCGATCAATGCCACTTGAGCAGAATAAGGCGACAAGACGGTGATCTGCTCCGCTGCCAAGCCGTGCTTCAAAAGCAGCTTGATGTGATTCAAGACGGGTCCGATTTCGTTTGCATTGGATTTCGATTCGCTCGTCGAGCTCGAGTCGTCTTTGCTCTCCTCTGACGAGCCAGATGTCTCGTACATCTCAGCTACGAGTCAGACAAAAGCACAAGCAGCGTTCAGCGTCAGTCATCCGGCGCTCTTCAAGCCATGGAAAGAGCCTCACCTCCTGCGGTGTCGTAGAATACGACGCTAGCAGCCCACAGCTCCTCCTTGACATCTTCTTCCAAGAGCTCCTCTTCGCCTTCTACATGTCCGTAGCCATCCAGGTCGAGCAGGGTAATTTGCGCATTGGCAGGTGCGGCGCGCAGTGCGTCTTCGTACAAGGCGCTGTTTGGGAAACTCTGCAAAGTCTTGGAGAAGCGATACTGTGCAGATGGTAGAAAGGTTTGATGAGCCTGCGCATTGCATACTTTCCAACCCGCCGCAGAGCAGTTCAAGACGTTGTCGGATTCTCACCTGCTCATCAAGTAGCGCGCGCATACCGCTACCATACATGCCGAGCAAGCGAGAAAACATGGTCGTCTCGAGGCTGCGCGGCACTCTTAGACGTGTCCTCTTCGGCTCGGACTTGGTCGCTTCCCCACTGCGCTCCTCGCTCGCTGCCGTGTGCGCCTCCGGGCTCAGGCAGGAGGTCTGGAAAGCGAGCTGGGTGTCCGATTCCTCATCGGAGTCAGGATCGTTAGCGAGCTGCAAGCTGGTGTCGGGCCGCGCTTGACCGACATCGTCTTGCCTCAGCAGCGGAGCTTCATCAGCTTCGCTCTGCTTCTCGAAAGCCTTGACGTCCTTTGTCCGCTTGCCTTTTCTCTTCTCAGCGCGTGGCCGTGGCTTGTATCCGAGCACAGTGGGTGGCAATTGTAAGTGGTCGCCCGCGAGTATGAGTTTACCACTTGGCTTTAGACGAGACAGTATGGGGATCCATATCTGAGCTTCCAGACTGAGACGCATCGAGGTGAATCTTACGTCCACTTTGACAAGCCTACGATTGCCTGCAAGGTCATCACCTCACTCACGCTTGGCAAGCTTCGTCGACCACGAGCACGTCGAAGGCTTGTTCCTTCAACGAAGCAGCTCCGGCGGTGTGACAAGTAGCGAACACGACTGCCGCCTCCCGCAGCACATTTTCGTACAATCCTCTTTCCCTCTTTTTCTGCTCCCTCCTCAACTCCTTCATAACTTCATAAGCTTCTTTTCTCGCCGAGCCTTTAAGACCTTTGGACTTGCTCGATGCTTGGCCCTTGCGAGAGGTGGACTTGTTTCCCGCTGCAGAAGTCGATGTATCCGTGGATGGATGCAGTGCAGAAAGCGTACTGGACAGCTCCGCTTTTACATCTCGTAGCAATTGACCTGCATCCGAAGATTCTGCTTGATCGTCCAGAGAAAATGCCTCGAGGTGAGGCAGTAATCGAGCAGGATCTGAGTGAGAAGGTTGATGCATGAGCAGAGAACCTGCACACAACTTTATCAGCTGAAACACCGCGGCTCCACACTCACGCCCGACTCTAGTCACTCCGAGTCCTTGCGCTTTCAGCTCCTTGTGGCCTAGTTGAACGACTCTTGAAAGTACATTGTCAGTGGCCAAATTGGAAGCCGCACACACGAGAACCCTCTTCTTGTTCCTGGCGCCAGACCCAGCCTCTGCGCGAGGAGCAGTGGGTGCTAGCGCCAACTGAAGAATCAGCTCAGTGAGCATCCGTGTCTTGCCAGTGCCTGTGGAGAGCCGCATGACACGTCAGCTTGGTATGGCAGGCGCATCGTTGGGGGCGAATCCTAAACATGGCTCCGCGCAACATCGTCTAGAAGCTGAATCATTTCTTACTCGCCAGGAGGACCGTGCACCAATGCCACCTCTTTTGCCCTCAGACAAAAGTCCAAAGCAGCCCTTTGAGACTCGTTCAGGCCCTGATCGTACAAGTGTTTCCCGAGCAGTCTTTCCTTCTCGTATTGCTCCACAGGCATGAAACTTGGCTGTTCCAGACCGAGCAAGACGTTGATGAGAGGCGATGCTGTTGAGCGGACTTCGCGCACAGGCCATTTGTCTGGCGCCGTGCGATTGCTTGCAGCGTCCGTCGCGCTTCTCGATAGGTGCTGTGATGTAGACGCTGAACTTTCCGTAGTTGTCCCTTTTGCCGCACCTATCTCGGCACTAACGTTGTCCTGCCCCTGCTTCTCGTTGCTACCATTACTTTGCGTGGGAGGACTCTCAGCTTCCTCGTCCGAGTCGTCAGATGAGTCCGCCTGCTTGCCGCTCTGATCTGCAGTGGTGGGGTCTAGCTCAGAGGGAGCGCGAGGCTCCGCTCGTCTTTTGGCGCGCGTAAAACTTGCACCACCCTGGCCAGCTGATGCTGCATCCGTTTGGCTTGCTGAGCTGAGCACAGGTACGCCCAGCTGATCGGCAAGGCTTTCCAGCGTTCGTTGCATCCTGTAGCCGAGCGACCCATGTGTTCTGTTAAGCTTGACGAGACACTCGGCCCCACAGCCACACGAGACGCACCTCTTTGTAACCCTGGCATCTTGTACCTTGAAGAGGTCAAAAGTCGCGCTGCCAGGCAAGATCTCATCCGCTTTACCCTCTGCTGCACGTCCAATAGCCAAAGTGATGCTCTCCCTTTCCACTCTAAACACGACCGCATCCACTGCTACCTTTGCCTGCTCTTCCCTCCTCTTTCCTTTGCCCTGCGAGCCAGTCGATGTAGGCATGACGCAGCAAGCATCCCCATTTCTGAATGCATGCGCAGTGCCCAAGTCAGCATGCACGTGCCACGCACTGCTCTTGATGAACCTGAACAGCGTCTTTCCGCCTGGACCGACGGTGGGATGAAGAGGTGTGAGAGTTAGCAAGGCTTGACCTGTCGAGGCTAGGTGGTGGGGTGTGTGCAGATGGGCAGATGCAGTGCGAGTGTTGCTGGATGAGGGTGTGGCCGAGGCAGAAGCTTCGAGCGATAGCAGGGCATGATGACGAGATAACCAGCGCGAGAGATCCTGACTGCTTGGAGGGTGAGGCCGGTGCAGGGTTGAGTCGGCATGAGGAACGCTAGACGGTGGAGCGCTCGCCGCCATGGTTACAACAGAGTAAAGCGAAGAGAAAAGGATCGACGAGGCCGCGCTACCAGCCGATGGATCGTAGTGAGGCAGTGGTGAGGGTTGCCTTGTGTGGGGTTGGTGGGGTGGGGTGGGGGTGAGAGCAGCAAACAGCCACCCGCGCAGGCGCACACGCACGCTGCTCGATGGATGGATCATGGATGAAGCTGATCCGTGCGCGGCATCACAGGTCTGCAAATTATGATCAAGCCACACAGCACTCACGACTGGTGACTGTGACTCTTGGCTCACTTTGACCGTTCACATCAGTCACGATCGAGTGCACGCGATTCGCGAGCCTACCTCCTGCCACGTGCGTGCATGTCGCTCGCTCGAGCAATCACCAATCAAATCCTTCTCATCCTTCACCGCTCTTTTCTGCTTCACATTCACCAGTCCCAAGCAGCTTGCTTCATCACCACCTGCAGACTCAAGCTTGTGTCTCTGACCATCGCCTCCTCCAAAGCATTCTTTTTGGCGGAAATGTCCTCTTCCTTGGCTCCTTCAGACTACAAGACGGTCATCTCTGCCGACGGCACAAAAGTGGCAGCATGGCACTACAAAAGCTCTAGGGCGAGCGCAAAGACCTTGGTGCTGGTGCACGGATGGACTATAAGGTGGGCATCTGGGACACGTGCATGTATGCCCTCCATTTGCGCGTTTTCGCCCAGCGTGGCTCATGTTCCTGCCCAAATCTCATTCCTCCCACTCACCACCTGCTACTCACTCCCACTCCCACTCCCACTCCCACTCCACTCGCACGCTTGTTCAAAGCTCCGACATCTTCCATCCGCTGCTTCTCCATGATTCCAAGCTGTTGCAGCTCGTCAACGTAGTGAGTCATACGCGCACCTTCTCTTTCCCGATCCTTGCACTGATGCGTGATGCTTGTGCCTCTCGCCTGGCATAGATCACGTACGATCTAAGAGGACACGGACGGACCTCTGAGCTAGCTCTTTCCGCGTCCGATAGTGATGCCGTGCCTGCGCAAGGTGCAATCGACTCGCAGACCATTGCGCAGGATCACAAAGCCGTGTTGGAGGCTTTTGGAGTCAAGGAGCACACCTTTGTTGGGTGGAGCTTGGGTGGTGAGCGATGTGTGCCGGCGCGGTAGTCATGCATTTCCGCCCCGGCTCAACATCCACTCTTCTCTCAACCCAGCATCGGTCTCGATCGACGTAGCTCTTCATTTCCCAACACTTTTGGAAAAGGTCATCTGGCTGGCCCCATTGCCGTGGGTAGGATCGATTCAACGCGCCGTCATCCCCGCCTATCTCGCTTCTCTCTTTCCCGGTCTTCTGGTACAAGATTCCGTCTGTTTGCATCATCAGACCGCTGTCAAGCTGATCGATATCTTCTCCATTCGAGGCAAGTCTCTGCAATGGAGCGAGAAATCGAGATTGGTGGGCAACTTGAGCTTTTGTTTGCCCGACGCTAGAACAGCTTGGGCGACGAGGATGCAAGATCCTGAAGCGTTCAAGAATGCGCTCAAAGCAGGCAGCACGACGTTGGAGGTGTTGATTGGAAAAGAAGATCAATTGGTCGATTCGATCATCTTGAAACGGGAATTGACGAGAGAATTTGGAGAAGAGACGTTCGGCTTCGAGGTCATCGACGATACGGGACATCATCTCGCATTCGATCAAACGGAAAGGACGTCGGATTGGCTGATTCGTCATGCTTGACCGTCTTGCAGATGATTGCGCTGCCCCTCACCCACGTCTGCCACATCCAAGAACTCGCGAATCGACGAATGCGCCTACACTCACCATTCCCCGCAATAGATGTCTTGCATGTTTCCGCCTTTCTTTTTGGCCCTCACTGCACTTACACACACGACTGAACAATTTGGAGAGACGGTCCACCTTGTCGAGGGGTGCACGATGAGCAGTGCAAGCTGCTCGTGCTTGC